CATATTCAATATTTTTTTTGTTTGTTTCAGTAGTCTTATTTTTGCAGCTATTTGAAAAGGTAGATATTTTTAATTTTTATTTTTAATATTATGGTTGGACATATCATTATATATAGTTTTTTTGATTAATTTTGATTTAATATTTTATTAATTATTTTGTTGTTGGGTCTTGTTGTGTTTATGTGTTTTATTTTTTATTTTTATTTTATAATTTATAAATAATAATTTTTGCAGTTTATTCTCATTTTTTAAATTTTTGGGTTGAACACCATATATGATTTTTTTTTGCTGCTATGTCTCATATTTTATGTGTTTTGATTTTTTTTATTATATTATTTATTTTTAAATTTTTTGTAGTAATTTTAAAATTAACTAATTTGTTTTAATTATGTAAATAGATGCCTCATATTCTACATGTCTTATTAATGGGCCACTTGAGATGCATTTGTTGACTTTACGGTCTAAACATGTTTCCCAACATATATGAAATATAGAGTTTGATCTAGATTGGGAATAAGAGGTGCATATCCAACTTATGATGAAATAAATGGAATTTTACATCAAATTGTTTCATTTTTAAACGATGTTTGATTTGACTAGACTGCTAGACTTAGTTTTATTATATTTAATCTTTATCTTATTTCAGCCATGATAGAGAGATGAAGACTAGAGACACATACATTTCATATGCTTTTTTGGAGAATGTACTATTATTCTCCAAGACAACACTATTTGTTGGATTTCGTGTTGATAGAAAAATAATTTTATCCACACAAGATATTGACTACAAAGTATTAGGTAAGCTCATAGTAGTATATTTTATTTTTTTTAATCTTTGTTTATTTTTTGTTATTGTTATATTTATTTACTATTATTATTATTATTGAAAGCTTAATCTTATAATTAATTTTACTTAAAAATAATTTATTTGATTATTTATTATTGTTGTGTTTGTTGTTGTTGGAAGTTTATTTTTGTAAAAGATTATTTAAAAATAATAGATAAATTTTTATTATTGTAATTTATATATTATATATACCTGGTCCCTATTTTTACAAAAGTAGAATTTCTCAAACTTCTCATTTTCAGAGAAGTTTTACATGATGGAGTCCACCTTAAAATAGTTATATTTCTGTCTTTTTCCCATGTATTAAATACACTATTTTTTAATTTTTCACATGGTCTATTGTTATTTCTCTCTTCTCAAACACAACCTTAGAGTTAACGTACATTTGGAAGGATGTGCAATTCAATTCAAACAAGTGACCCAATAACATGTCAACAACAAAGAGTCACACAATTTGAACACTGCCAGACAAATATGTTCCAATGAAATTGTCTTTTTTTAATTTATTTTTTATTTGATAAAAAGTGATAAAATTAAGACGTATCTCTAGTATTAGCACACAAATATCATATTGGAGGAGAAGCTCACTTAAAAATTATTGTAAACAATTTAGATAGTTAAATGTGATTTTAATTATGATCTAGTTTAATTTTATTTTATATTTCTTTTTAAATTTAAAATTATTATTATTTTAATATATATATATATATATAATATATATATATGTTTTAAATTAAATATTTATTATATATAACTAAAATTTATAATAAACTATATATGTAAGTAAATAATATATTGAAATATATAAATCATATTTAATTAAAATTTATATAAATAGATATTTTTAACATATAATTATATTTTTGCTTCAAAAAAACATATAATTATATTTTAGATATAAGATAAAAAAAATTATATTACAACAAAAGATTATATATTTTAATTATTGCTAATTTATTTTAAAATATTAAAATTAAATTTATAAATAAATATGATAAATAAAAAATTAATTTTTTTATAAAAATTCTCATATTGAATAATATCTTTCCAAAAAATTATCATTCAATATATTCTTTCATATTTAATATACATAGCAGTTGATTTAATTCATAAATAAAGATAATAAATAAAATGATTTCATCAAAGAATAACTTTTAAAAAAACTCTATCATTGTATTTAATATATAAAATTTGATTATTTTCAGTCATATAAAATGAATAAATTATGATTATTATCTTATAAAATATTTTTTATTTTTATAAAATTTATAATTATTATTTTTAGTATCTGATATTTATTTTAAAATAAATAAATAATATTTTATTTAAAGAATTTATTAAAACCAAACTTAAAAGTAACATGTATCACATACGATATTATGTATATTATTTAGAATAATCAGTTAACTTTATAGTAGACAAATGAGTTGTTAATAAAGATTATATAATAGTAAGACTAAAAGCTATAATTCCAAGTTTCAGAATGATGAAAAACAAAACAAAAAATATTGTATAAATATCAAAATTAAAATCTACAGATTAAAATCATAAAGGTTTCCTTGAAACACCTATTAATCCAAATTTTGATGAGTTGAAGGGAAAATTAAGTGGCACATCCAAAGAAGATAAGAGTTAATTATGGATTCCAATGAAATTGTTTGCGGTTTCTCCTATAAGCTTTCAAAGAATATTCTTAATATTTTGCTTTAAACCCAAAAACTGTGATGTCAATGTGGGAACAATGATGGCCACAGATACATTCGTGATATTTTATGTGGCCCTACAAAACTTAGTCATTATTATTTGAGCTTTGATATGGACCCTGGGATTGAGATATTTTTTAAGTAATAAATATGTTGAACTATAAAATAAAGTACCTACTTGTTTCAAAAGTTAAAGAAATTAATGTAATTTAAAAATATAAAAAGTTACATCACAAACGTCCAGCTATTCATTAAAAATTATCTAATCATATTTAAATTGTATTTCATGAAACATCTTAATGATTTTAATACTTAATAAAAAAAAGTTAAGTATAATGAATTACTTTTATTTACTAGTTATAATATATATATTCAGAATATTGATTAAAATAGTTTAAAAATTAACCTTCAAAAGGAAAATAAGGTGTTTGATTTGATCCATACAAGAAGCTTGAATTGATTCGATCTAGTATGGCAATTTGAAATTCCCAGATGACAAATTTCTTAATAGTGACAGAAAAATAATATTTTTAAAAAACACAACAGTGAAAGAAATAAATTATTCGATCAAATAATCACTACAAGAGATGTTACATATAGTGACATTACTAAAAATATAATATATGTAGGTATACGTCTATTTAACATATAGTTACACATAATTTTAGTGTTAATTTTAAATGAGATTTAACAACATATTTTGTGTGTCACTATATATATAATTTATATTTACACTTTTTAATAATATATTAAAATTCTTAATTTTCATTTGCACAGGATCATGGTAGGTGGCTGCTACTACATGTGAAAAGTTTGTCATATATACAAAATTCTTAATTGTAACATATCTTTCCAAAAATGTTAAATGTCTACTGGTTCTTCAAAAGGAGATAATGTAAGAAGGAAAGGAATAAAACCAAATTTAATTATCCGAGAGAAAAATAACTTTTATTGAAAAATCTGACAATGTTTTCGAGACAAAGCTAATTTAGACACATGTGGCCCAGTCTGTAAAACCAACGTGAAATGTTTGAATCTCAATAGGATGTTAACAATAGAGGAGCTACGAAGATGCTGCTATCTAATGGAACCTAGGAAGGGAATATTCATCAAAGTTAAAACTAGGAATCAACCAACACATTCTTTTAACACAATATTTTAATTAAAGTTTTTATTATTCACAGGTGAAAATCACTGAATTATGAGTGAAATTTAATTTAATATGTATAAAATGTCACTCACACGTCTTACTAATAATAAAAAAATGCAATTAAAATAGTGCAACTTGTTCTTTTTAAGATACGCTTTAAGTGAGAGGGAAAACACAAATATTGATGTATTTTTTTTATTTCATTGGAAAAAGTAAAAATATATTTCTTTTAGAAGCAACGGTTCAAAAGAAAATTAATTTAAATTTAACTTTATCTTCTTTCAATTTTTCTCAATTATATAAAGCAATTTTTTTAAGATTAGAGTAAATTATACTACTAATTTTAAGGTTCTGATTACATATAACTTTTTACTTTTTTTAACATATTCATAAATCTTTTAAGGTAATTTATCTTATAAGCAATACAAATTAATGTTTTTTTTTTATAATTAAAGAATTAATAATTCTTTTTATACGTATATAGTTCACACACTATTTAAATAACGATAATTAAATATTTGTGTTTGTGAAATGTAATTTTTATCGGTCAAATATTCTTTTAATTCATACAAAAATCAAAATTTAAAGTATCAAAATTGATAGACTTTACAATTATTAGAATTAGAGTGTTAATAAATCCATGAAATGTTTAAAAATGTTGTTAGCATGTTAAACAATTATGGAGAATTAATATAATAGAAGAAAACAGGGAGTTATCTATAATTTTGCAAAAGTTCGTAGTATAATTGTAATTTACAAAGTCAAAATGAACAAAACCCCACTTTAATCAGTCAAATTTAGCCCTCCCAACAACGATGCATAAGACTACTCAAGATCTACTAGTAAAAAACAGAGGAAATTCAACACAAACATCTCCAAACCATTGATTGAAATCCCTCAACTTCTGCACAGATTAACAAGTCTGTGACAGGTAAGCATATTCTCACTTCCTTTTTTCTTTTTACCTTTTTCTTGTTCCAGCACATCTATGTGATCATTGTACTAAAAAAATGCATCCTAGATCTACCCTCTATTCCTTCAGGGATGGTTTCAAGAGCAGCAATAGTGTTACTCATAGGTCTTCTGGGAATGTTTTACCAGGCCACTCAACTTCCCCCTCCAAACCGCCCTGACTCACCAAATGGTGTTCCAGCCTCACCAAGAGTCAGACTCAGTGATGGAAGGTACCTGGCTTATAGAGAAAAGGGTGTCCCCAAGGACCAAGCAAAACACAGCATCATCATTGTACATGGATTTGGAAGCTCCAAAGACATGAACTTTCTGGCACCCCAAGTATTTTTTTACACAAACCTCAATCTCTCTTTACAAATCTTGCTCGTGTTGATTTGTGAATAGTAGACATGTTATGTTGGATTTATAGATTTAGATCTAACTAGCACAGTATCTCAAAATCAGTAAGGGAAACAAGTTGAATAGATTCAAAGAATCAAAATGCTAGAGATACTATGTAGTATGCACAAATCATTAGACATAATGGTTCTGATTAGATACTTGGATACAAAGAAGGAAGTTCCTTAGGTGTTCGATATGTTGAGGGGGTCTTTCTGCTAACAATCAATAACTTGTTGATACATGGATTAACTTTACATGCCAATTTTTAAAAGTATGAGTGAGATTGCACATCTAACACACGTGTCAAGACGCCATTAGTTGTTAGCAGAAGAGCACCAAATCCCCTCAACATAACAGAAACGAAGGAATGTCATGCAAAATAGGTGATTATTAATCTTTATATTGAGCCTTTTTTTCCCCTACACTAAGTTGGAAATTGTTATGGATTATAAGTTTTGAAGCATTTTCTAAAACTTGGATAAGCTAGAAGTTGCAGTGTATCTATTCAAATATGTCCAGAGATAACATTGACACTGATTCTACAGGAGCTAATAGATGAACTGGGTATATATATTCTGCAATATGATCGTGCTGGTTATGGAGAAAGTGATCCAAACCCCAAACGCTCACTGAAAAGTGAAGCACTTGACATTGAAGAGCTTGCTGATCAATTACAGATAGGGTCAAAATTTTATGTGATTGGAGTCTCAATGGGATCATATGCTACTTGGAGTTGTTTGAACTACCTCCCCAACAGGCAAGTAACAAGCCTCAAAATATGTATTTCTTAAACACGTTTGGTTTCAGAAAATGCTTTCTGTTTTCATTTTTTATTTTCACAAATAATTACAACAATGACATCACATTTCTAAGCACATGTTTGGTTCAGAAAATATCTTCAGTTTTCAAAACAAAAGTAAAAAAAAAAAAAAAGTGTCATTTTTGTAACTATAGGTGATAACAAAAAATCAAAACAGAAAAGATTTTCTCAATTGATAAAAAATATTTTCCCTTTTGATGTTGAAAAAGGAATGTTAATTTCACCTCAAGTAAACATTTGTGCAGGTTAGCAGGTGTAGCTATGATAGCCCCAGTCATAAATTATCAATGGCCTTCCTTTCCTGAGAGATTGATAAAAGAGGACTATAGGAGGAAACTTATCAAGTGGACCATGTCCCTTGCAAACTATTTTCCTAAACTGTTGCACTGGTGGGTGACTCAGAAGTGGCTCCCTTCAAATTCTGTCATAGAAAAGAACCCAGCATTTTTCAACAAAAGAGATATAGATATTCTAGAGACAATTCCTGGCTTCCCAATGCTTACCAAGGCAAGTTACATATTTCTTTCACTTGTTCTGTTTTGTGAATTTACATGGTCCTTGTTTGATAAATTTCTCAATAAGTACTTATTGGAGAAGAAAATCAGAAGATGAAACAAATTAAATTTTGATAGGAATATACCTTCTAAGTGGGACAAGCCTTTTAAGACTTGTCACCGAAGGCACCAAACAATATGGAGCCTAATTGTCTTTTGCTGAAGAGTCGGTTAGAAGAGAGAGAGGGAGTGTTATGTGATTCTGTTATATAGGATTGGGCCATTGGGGAATCATTTGTGGGGGATTATGTCAGAATTGGAAATAAGAATTTGGAGTCAAGAGAACCTTTCTCTGACTTGGGGGAGCCTGACTCTCATTTCAGCAATATTTCTTTTGTTTCTCTGCCATTTCTCTGTTTCTTCTGCAGGTACCTTGATACATCACGTATCAAATTTCTATGGGAAGTTAAAATTAGTTTACGCATAAATTAAAATCAGCTTTGGGAGAAGTTAAATGAGAAAATTTCTACAAATTAATTTTTATATAAACAAATTTTAGCTTATGCATGAATTATATTGAAAAAATTATTCAAACCGAGTCATATTAAAACTTCTGAGGTAATTGTGATGATGGTATGTTCCCACTTACAGGATAAATTAAGGGAACAAGTTGTTTTTGACACTCTAAGGGGTGATTGGATGGTGGCATTTGGCAATTGGGAATTTGACCCATTGAAGCTAAGTAATCCATTCCCCCCAAATAGAACTTCAGCTCACATTTGGCAGGGCTATGAAGATAAGGTAGTGCCCTCTCAAATCCAGAGGTTTGTTACAGGGAAGCTGCCCTGGATACAGTATCATGAAGTTCCAGATGGTGGCCATTTGATTGTGCACTACAGTGGCTTATGTGAGGCCATTCTTAAAGCACTTTTACTTGGAGAAGAAAATCTTTCATATAGACCTAGACCAGAAGTATTTGTATCTTGATTTGCTATGATCTCTTAATACATTATGTTTATTGTTCTTTTTTTCTTTGGAGAATGTCAAATATGTAAATCACATTCGTTGATTGAAAGGAGGAAAATGTCACATATGTAAATTACTTCTTTCTTTTCTTCTATAGATGCTTACAAGTTACAACACATCCTTTTGAACATTATCTTTAGTATTAAGTGAAATATAACACTGATCTACTAATAAATAGGAGGCCAGCTTAGAAATTTCACTTAATAATAATAATAAAAAAAGAGGTTCTAGGCTGCATTTTTGTTGGTTGAAAATTGAAGGCATAACACAGTCAGCAGTTATATATAGCAGCTAACTCACTAGAGTCCATTTAGTGGTTGAGGGGGGTAGTTTGTACAAACCTCATTAATATCGTTGCAACACAAAAAAAAAAAAAGTTATAGGCAGCATACATAATAATTAAGCACTTAGAATGATTCAAGTGTGCTTTTGTATATCTCATGACTCGAGTCTTAAATAGTTTATGACCTTTGTACAGCGAAGTCATTGAAGTTGCACATAAATTAGCTATAGGAGTTTGGCAAGAACTAAAGCTAATTAATGTGTCTTGCAAATACATGACAGTAACAGGTGAAACTATACCAATTTAATAATTCTAAGAAAAATGTTTCATGTATAGTAGGCACTAAACGAGAGAAAGGGATAAAAGCCATTTCGGCTTAAGAAAGCATCTCGATACAAGAACGGTGTTCAGAGGTGTGAAGTGAGAGTTCATATTTCATAATTGAGGTTTTGAATTATTGTGCACCAAGGGGTTAATATACATATATACATGTCTATACATTAGTGAGATATTATCTATTTTGGGCTCAACCCTCACGGTTTTACTTTTGGACATCACCCAAAAGGCCTCTCTACCAATAAAGACAACTGTGTGTATATAAACTCATGTTCATCCTCCCCTCCATGTTACTGGGAAGCCTGGGAAGCCTCTCTTCCATCACCCAAAAGGCCTCTCTACCAATGGAGACAACTGTGTGTATATAAACTCATATTCATCCTAGACAACTGTGTGTATATAAACTTATGTTCATCCTCCCCTCCATGTTACTGGGAAGCCTCTCTTCCATATTGGTGAGATATTGTTCGCTTTGGGCCCAAGTCCTCACGGATTTGCTTTTGGACACCACCCAAAAAGCTTCTATTCCACATGGACCCACCGTTAGGAAGACTTTCGACACAAGAGATCCTAAACTTGGATACCAAGTGTTGTGCACCGGGAGGTTACCACATATATACATATGTCTCCAAATTAGTGAGATATTGTCCGCTTTGAGCTCAACCCTCATGGTTTTGCTTTTGGACATCACCTAAAAGGCCACTCTACCAATGGAGACAACTGTGTGTATATAAACTCATATTCATCCTCTCATTTGAACGATGTGGGACTTTGCTTGCATCTCAATATGAATAATACTATTTTTTTCATTTATCATTCTTTTTACTTTTTTATATTGGAAAAGTAATAAGAAGAGATGTTAAGCTTTATATCATCTTGAGGTAGAGCTATTATGAGACAAAAGCAGAAATGTGAGTTATTCATTGTGAGATCATAATTCTCGACCGGACGAAACACTAGAGAGTAAAGACCTCACTTCCCTTTGACAGATATTGAGGAGGAGGGGGGACAAAGTTCTTAGTTTTTTCAAGTAAGAGTATAAATGTGATAGTAATAGTAATTAGAGACAAATGAAAGGTGTGAATAGTAGTCTTGAGAAATGATAGTAATATATTATTTTTATTTGAGTTAATCATTCATACACTACTAGTGTAAAGTTTTTTATGCTGGCAACCAATCATATCTTTTAAAGTTGTTTATTTTATTATTATTTTATTAAATAAGTAACTGACATGACACTATTAAAAAATATGATTGGTTGCCAGTATAAAATTTTTTTACACTGACAATGTATAGGTGATTAACTCTTTTTATTTTACCAAATACACCCTCAAAGAAAAATAGCGGATGTCAATGAAGTTTTTATATTATTAGAATGTCAAAAATGAGAAAATTATTACTCGATTCTAAATATTCTTATCACATTTTTTTTAAATATAAATCTACTTATTAAACAGAAAATAATTTAGTGTATTTTGATATTTTAAAAATATTAAATATATTTGCACTACATGACCAAGGTGATGGTATCACTGGGTACCAATGACTACAATGAGTTTCAACTCGATATAATTTGATGAGATTTCAATGGGTGAACATTGGTCGGGTTGAGTTGGGTTTATCATTGTCCAAACTCAACTTGGATTTTTCTTTGGATCATTTTTTAAAGTCCAAACTCAAGCTGATCAAAACCTATGGATAAAGTTTGGTTAATTCAACTTTGTCATACTATATTAAATTTATCATTATGTATTGTTAAATCATAAAATAAAACATGCACAAAACTTAAATTTAGGTATAATTTACTATATATATTTTAAAATAAATAGTTACATTATAAATATAATATCATGTTGTGAAATGTATTATTAAAATTTTAATATTAATGCACAACAATTAAAAAAAAATTATACTAATGCATCAAGTCCAATTTTAAAAGTTCAAGCCCATTCAAATAAATCACGAGTTGAGTTGAGTTAATAGGTTGGGATATGTCATGTTCACCCTTGGGTTTCATGATGGGCAAAAAAGAGTAATTGAGCCATCAAAATGAGTTTGAGCTTGTCAAACTAACTCGAATTTTCTTGATAAATTATAAAGTTTGAGCTATAGATTTCAAGTCCAAATTAAATGTGAGACTTTTTAGTTTGATATGATAAAGCTCAAGTCATAAATGAGATTCAAACTAGCTAGTTTGATCAATCCACGGGTTGCTCTTTTATTTTATTTTATTTTAGTTTTAGCATTTTAATAAAAGATGGAGTTAGATTCTAAGTGATTAGTTTATAAGACTATATATAAAATTGTTTATAGGACTATATATATAATTGTTTAGGAGATTGTTTTATAATTAGGGATGTTTAAAATTGAACCAATCCAAATAAGATATTGAAAATCCATTCAAAAACCAAAAATCGATGGAAAACTGCAAACTAACAACTTTGTTTAGTTTTCTAATTTTTCTAAATCATGCAATTTAGTTCGTTCTTGAATTAAAATGTAAAATCGATCAAAATCAAATTGAATCACACTTATGTATAAATATGTTTTTTGTTCCAAATGCTTAGTGTAGGTATACAATATTGACACATAAACATAACATAAAAGATGTTTTATAAGTTTGTTATATACTAAATTGTAAGCTACTAAAAGATATTTTTCCCTCCAAAATGTACATTACAATATATTTAATTTAAAAAGTATTTTATAAAATTATAAGTTACTAAACTGAATTTTAGAATGAAAAATTATGAATTATTTATAACATTAAAAAATAATTTTATTTTAATTGACAAATTATATATATATATATGATAAAAAATATTTAATACAAATTAAAAATATATTAAAGAAATTTTTTTACTAAAATAATAAGATAAAAATTGATATTAAATGCATTAAGTTACCGAAAATTTTTAACATTTAATTTGGTTTAGAATTTGGATCAGAAATCTTAAACAAATAACATATTATTACATATTTTTAACTAATTTTTAAATAATAAATTTTTAAAACTGCAAAAATCAAACTGGCTTAATTCAGATTTTGTAATACATTCAAATTGAAATAAATTAAATTACACTTAATCTCTTTATTTGATTTAAGTGACTTTTGAGCGAATAATTGAATGAAATTGCATTTCTAACATCTTATTTATAATATTTAATCATTTATCACAATAAAAACATGTTAATAAAAATAATTATTACAAAAATTGTTGACTCTGGAATTTAGAAAAAAAATTAAAAATGGGTCAGGTTGAAAAATTAAAACCAAGGGATTTGGACGTGAATTTAGAGGATCAAATTACATCCATGTCTTTTTTGACTTGCCAAATTGTGAATGCTATTTTATTTTTTCTCATCTTCTTATCCTTTATATTTTTTCATTCATTTAAATATTATTGGATACTCATTCTCCTTTATTTAATCTTTCAAAAGGTATTATTTGTTTCACCAAGTAAAATTCCACTTTCAACAAAGGATAAACAACTAACATTGAAAAAACATGTTTCTAGGTGAGAATGAAAACTCTCTTCATTCAAATAAACATTTTTAATTTCACATATTAATTTTATAAATTGTCTAAATTTCTCTTAGGGTGTGTTTAAATGAAAAATTTTAAAAATTCAAAGGAATTTGAAATGTTTGAAAATTGAATTGCTTTAATTTAATTTTTCTTCATTTTTTAAATGTTTTAATTAAATAAATTAATTTAAATTTATTAATTTTCATATATTTAATTTAGACATGATAATTTAATTTCTACCATATAAAGATTTTATTTTTAGATATATGTATTTAAAATTTCACAATTAAATTTTACTAAAAATAGACATTAATCAAATTTTAGATAGTTGATAATTAAAAATAATTTTAATAGAGATAATATTTAAAAATTCAACAATAGTTTTAAATGTTTAATAAATAAAAATAAAAATATCAATAATTTTATATCAATATTAATAGAGAAAATAAATATAAGAGAAAGAAGAGAGAGACAAGAAAGAAAAGAGACACATGAGAGGAGAAAGAGGAATCAAGAGAGAGAAAGGAGGAAGAAAACAAATATGAGAAAAGAGTAGAAAAAGAAAGATAAAAGAAAGAGAAAAAAAAAATCCTATAACATTTCGAAAGATTTGGTAAGATTATTGTATGAATATAATATGTATAAATTCTATAAAAAAATCTCGCAAAATTTATCATATAGAATAATTTATCAAATTTTGTATGTTTTAATAAAATAATAAATTTTCGTATAAAAATATTTATATTTGATCCTATAATTATTTGGTTTATTACTAGCTGTGTGTAAAATAATAGATGTAATTATGACATAAAAAATAATAGATGTAATTAAATTTCTAATTACTGTATCTAGTTCTTATTGTATTTTCCTATGTTATTTATATATACACAACTAAACGAGTTTTTCCTAACAGTATTGGTTATAATAAAAGTAAATTTACTCTAGAAAAAAAAATGAATTTTGTCTAATCCGTATTTTGTAGTAACAAAACATCCCACAAAAAAAAATTATTTATTTTGTAGAATTCTTCTTAAAATATTAAAATAATAATAAACGATTATTATTATTTAAAAATCTAAACTAAATATACACATATCTCTATGCTTAAAATTTTATCTTAAGAAAAATAAAAACAATTATATTAAAAAATTTAAGTAACTAGAAAAACTAATAAATTTCTTACAAATTAGAAACATAACTCTTTTCTTGGTTACATTAAAGTCACAACTATTTATGTAATTGTCTAACTTAAAAAAAGAGAGCATAACTTCGATACACTAGAAATACAACTGTTTTACATTATTAAACAATTAAAAATCATGTTTCGAAATAGCTATTGAAAAATTTAATAATTTTACTATACATAAACAAGTTATGATTTATTAAAGTGTATTTAAACAACAAGACATTGGTCTAAATGAAATTAGGAAATAGATCTTCTAATTTTATGGAAAGAAAGTTATAACTTAATACATTTAAATCATTAAATTTGTAATAATAGATCAGATTATAACATGTGTACATTTAAGTTAAAATAATATATTATATATATATATATATCACAATCTAATTTATTTTTATAAAATATTAAGTTTATGGAATTTAGTGAAGGAAATTGGGTGAGTTTGAAAGAAAAAGTGAGCGTATTTAATTTAAATTTAAATACAGTTAATTTTACACGTGAGTATAGTAACGGAGTAGAGGCGGCGTAGAAGTAGAATGTACAGTAGCGTATTACGGTATTACCCTCCCGCGTTTATTTGGTTCTTGCTGTGACACTTGGTTTCCATGGCTATATAATAAACGTATACCTTCGCCTTTTGGGGACTCGAACTCTGCGACTTTGATCTGTTCTTGACTTTCGTCAATTCCACTTCCAGGTAACCTTAATCTTCTCTTCTTCGCATCGTTTTTCCCTTTTCCATCTCCAAACCCTCTTTTCCCCAATTCAACCTAGGGTTTTTTCAACCTCAATTCCGATCTTTCCGAAACTTGTCTGAACCCTAATTTTCTGTAACGGTCTTGCCTTTCCGGTTTTACTGCCGAATTTCGCTTCAATTTCGTTTTATTTTTAATTTTTTTAATCGGGAAGGGGGGAAAATCGTTTTCGCTTCTGCTTGTCGTGTCTGAGTATGCCGTGTTCTGCATTTTGTTTTATTCGTTGTGTGGAATTTGGTGTTTAGGTTTCGTGGAATTGGTAATGTGTGCGTTAGGGAGTGTCGTTCTTTGATTACGTTAACGTAGGATTCTGAGTTTAAGTCGGTTACTGTTGATTCTTAGCTGGAGAAACATGGCTTCGTCAACTTTATTGGGAATGTGCATTTGTCTATTGAGCATTGTTTAGTGAAGTAGTCAGTTTCAGCTTTCCTTTTCCTTTTCCTTTTCTGATCGTGTGGTATGTTAGCGAGTAATCTATGCTGAGTTTTGTATGCAATGGTTATTAATTTCGTTGTAATATTATGCGCTGATTGGATCAACTTTTCGATAAACACTTACGGAGGAGTAAATAAGAAGGTAAAATGAATTGAATGTCTGGGGTTAGTCAAAATCTATTTATGCGCCTCAACTTTTGAAGAAGTTAGATGAGGGAATTTCTATTTAAGTTAAATGTATAAGTTGATTTTAACCTATGGGAGTAGCTTAATTCATTTTATCTTCGTATTCTCTTCTCCTATAAGTGTTTATGGAAAAGCTTATCCAAACAGGGTCTTTATCTAGTTGTTACTGCTGTTATTAAATCTTTATGAATACTTCTGCTCTGCATTATTAGGTTACGGGCAGGAATTCAGAGACTCAGTTTGATCTTGGGGTGCGAAAGAAAGAGACTTTCTTTTGACATGCCTTCTAAGCTTTAGTAAGGCTGGCAGCTTAATGTTGAGTTCTGGGAGTAACTTGAACAGTAGCAGCAGCAGCGGGATAACTTCTTCGGATATGCCACCCTTGCCCCAGTGTTTGCCACTAGATTCAATTACAGTAGGCAATAGAAAATATACAGGAGAGCTAAGGAGGGTTCTTGGTGTCACTGCTGGAAACACATCTGAAGACCATTCTTTTGGTGGTTCACATCCTAAACCCATGGCTCCAGGAGCCTCAGGTGAATTAAAGCACTTCAAAGAAAGTGTACAAGATGCTTCCAGAAAGGCGAGGTATATAATTGTTATTCTACACAATTTCCTTTAACATATTCTTCAGATCTGAAAAGTTCTATTTGTAAGGTTGAGTGATTTACAAAATTTAGTATGGCTAGGTCAACTTTGAAATGAATGGTCTCCTTACAGGGTGTAATTGGTGACTGGTGACAATATTAGTATGTTTTTGACTTTTTTTTTTCCTGACAACCATAAAACCTGTAGAAAACTTGTGTTTATGTTTTGTCTATATGTTGAAGCATTAGTTTCAAATGTAAATTGTATGCCCCTTTTATTTTATGATAGTATATTCATATTGATGTTCTAAGAGAAGTGTAAAATGTTGATCAGGGATAGATCAAAAATGCTTGGGGAATCTTTGTCTAAACTGGAGAAGTACGAGGCATTAAACATAAAGAAGCGGCAAAGGGCGGATTTATCAAGTGATAGGGGAGGTGGAGTAAACTTGACGAAGATGGGTAACCAGATTCACAAAACTCCTAATGATAATCTAACTCAGAGATCAGAAGCAAAGGCCTCAAATTCAATGCTGAACAAGCGAATTCGTACATCAGTGGTAGATGTGCGGGTGTGTATGTGTTGCACTACTGTTTTTTCTGTGTATTTATTATTTATCTGTGTAGTGCAAGATGCAATTATTAAAATACTTTATTTCAGACCTGTCATATACATTATTGCATCCTTTTTAACAACAATGACTTTTAAATTTTAATATTTGTGAGTGCTTAACAGGAATAAAATATATACTTTATTAAATCACATTTAAATTTTCAAGCTACTTTTGAATCCCAAAAGAAGGATTCAAATTGCTTCAATCCTAGTTTAAACATTTTAGGATGGAATAATTTGAATCATCTATCATCTCAATCTCCAAGTAAAACATTGATGTATGATAATACTGATGTCAGATTGTAAAAATGGACATAATTTTAATGCTCTGTTTTCTTCTTCAAGTGCAAAACACAAAGTTGTAGATTTATTAATTTCTGATAATAATCTATTTGTCTTCATTTTCATTCTTTCCTCATGATTTTGCTCACTCTGCTCTGCTCACAGGACGAAAGTAGGTCTCCTGCTATTGGAAGGCCACGGATGGTCACAGAAAAGGATGGAAATCTGATTCAGACACTTGGTGGGAGCTCTGTTCGAAATGAAGAGAAAACACGCAGATTACTTGCTGGTGCTGGTGGTGAAGGTTTGGATAACAAAATAAAGAAGAAGAGGTCTGTTGGAACTGTAGGTAACAGACTTATAACTGGTGAAAGGGATGTAAAACGAACTGCTCTTCCAAAGGCAAATGCTGATCTGAAGACACGACTTTATGATGCTCAAGGTTTCAGGTAGTTATTTGTTTTTATTTTATTTTTCTCTTTTGAATTGCAATATATATTTTTCAAATATAACATTAATTTTGGGTGGAGGATGTGTTGAAGGCTTTTTAGATATTTCTGTACATCTTATATGTGATGATCATTTATCTTCATTTATGTCATTCCAAAGGAACCCATTATGTGTCCCATTATCGATACTCTCTGATAATATCATCAGTGATCAATGTACTTATCTGGTTCATTGAGTAATCTGTTGCTCTTGTTCCTTTTGCAAAGCATTCTTGTTATTTACTATTTAGAAGGGGGAAAAAAGACTTTCTAACTTGCATTCTCTTCATTGGCTATTAAACAGAAGTGGAGTCTGGGTGGGCATTTTTTGTTTTGTTTGGTATAGGTAGAGCTTTCATATTGGGGGTCTTGAAGATAAAGCTCTGATGCACAACCTTTGTTTCTATACACTTTTTTTTTCCTGTTTGGTGATTATAAAACAGATACTCTGAATAATTACCTGTATAGAAGTCATTCTTAAGTGGGGGCTTCTTAGTCATATCATATATATATATATATATATATATATATATTTGCATCGAAGTTAATTATGTTGAATTAGCTTCATTGCTATAGGGTAGACTCAGTTCAGTTTGAAAATTCCATACTTTTAGTATGAAATTAAATTTTTAAGTGTTTATTGTTTGTTTATATTCTTCAATTGACTAACCTATCACAACCTGCATTATAAAGAAGCTAATCTGCATTATATTGTTTGATCTTTTTCTCCTGCTAATCTGTTCCTCTTGTAATTTTCCTCTTTGGAATTTTGTTTACTTGGGTAACTCTTCAAATCATAGGTAGTCACGTTATTGTCAAATGGTTTGATGCAACTTGTCATTGGAGAACAGAAAAGAAAAACTAAATCTTTGTATTAATAATGTTTTTGTGGTGCAGATTGAAGCCACTTTCTGGATCTGGTGGGAACAAGTCTGAGGGCTCTTCAGAGCTTACTAATACACGCATGATGCTTGCAAGTGAGCAAGGTGCTTCTCTTCACAGGGAACACATAGCTGAGCAGAGAGTTATGACAAAAGGAAACAACAGGTTTAGCATATCTTGTCATTGCCATGGTCTTAATATATTTCTACATCTTAGTTGTTCTATCAGTCAATTTTGCAAGATTCTAAACTAAGATTTAATGCTTAGTTTTAACTGGTCCTTGTTTACATTTATGTGTTGATAGCTATTTACAAATTTATTTATTTTTTGTTTCTATAAACAGGGCAAACAGTCAGGAGGACCCAGCAAGCAGCCCTAACACGGTAATAAGAAACAAAGCATCTCGGGCACCAAGAACAGGTTCAGTTAGTGCACTAGAATCATCCAACATTCAACCTTCTTCTACAACTTTTCAAGGTAGGTAATGCCTTCATATTCTAATATAAAATTTCAGTGGTTGGTATGGAAAATAATCAAACGCTTTTTACACATAGGTTCTATGAATTCAATGACCCAGTGGTGTGGTCAGAGGCCACCAAAAAATTCACGCTCACGAAGAGTTAAAGTAGTTTCTCCTGCCTCACGGAATCTCGAAGTACAGGTCTCATCCGAAGGCTGTCTAACTTCTGATTTCAGTCTTAAAGCTTCTTCTGCTGGCAACAATGGATTTCAACCAGCAAGCAGTGTAGACAACAGCACTCCAAAATATAAAAGGCCACATGATGATATTTCATCTCCCTTTGGATTATCTGAAAGTGAAGAATCTGGAGCTGGGGAAAACAAAATAAAAGAGAAAGGAGTGAATGGCAGTGACTTTTCTATAGCTGCAGATAAGGCTGGGACTTCTATGTTTCAAATGAGGAAGAATAAGATATCAACAGATGAATCTGGAGATATGGTGCAGAAACAAGGAAGAAGTGGTAGGAATTTTTCATTAACAAGGCCAGGACTCCCTTCTGGGAGGGAGAAGCCAGAGAATGTACCAATAATGAAGCCAGTACAGGACATGAAGCCGAATGATAAGAGTAAAGCGTACGTTGATTTTATTTTTAGATCTAGTTATCCTTTCCCCTCCATTTTGCCAAAACTGTCCTCATACTCTTTTGTTGAATGCAGCAAATATGGACGCCCTCCTTCAAAAAAGCAAAAAGAGCGTAAAATTTTGACTCGTGTACGGAAACAACTGAACATTGGTTCTTCTGAATTTGGAGGTAGGGTTGATATTTAAAAGCTAAGCTTTGTTTATTTTGGAATTTTAGTTTTATGGTAATGGTGGCTAAATCTGTTTGCTTTGCTTATAGTAGTGATATTAGCGTGTTAGGTTTACCAACTGGGATATTTTTACTAGTTTTTATGTCATAGCACTTTGCACTGTCCAGCCTTGTCGAGTCTACCATATCAAATGATTTTCAATACATAGTTTGTCAAATATTTTTATCTATATTTGTTTTTCATCAAGTTTCACACACCATATTCAAATGACTGTCTAGGTGAATCTGATGAGGATCGTGAAGAATTATATAAAGCTGCAAATGCTGCTCGTAATGCTAGCAGTATGCTTCTTGAACCATTTTACCTCCTCCAAAATGTTATTCTTTTTTATACTCAGTTTTATATTTCACTAGTATTTATTTATTTATTTTTTTGTAGAGCTTGCTTGTTCGGGTCCATTTTGGAATAAAATGGAGTCTATTTTTGCTTCTATCAGCTTGGATGATGCATCTTACTTGAAGCAACAGGTAACAACTGGTTTTTAACATGTCATGTTTTTCTGGAAATGTGAATTTACCATTTGACTCTTAACATGTTGAATAGATTCTGACTTACTGTTCTTTTGTTTTTTGGTTGCTGAATCAGCTCAATATTTCTGAGGAGTTTGAGAAAAGTTTTTCTCATATGTTTGGCATTGATCATGATCTGTTGGTAAGTGTTTGGCATCATACATTAACTATCCTATATCTTTCATCTTCCTTATCAATAATGAAGAACTTCTGCATATATATCCATCTGTAAATTTAAGATCTTCACAATTGCACCACAATTTTCATCTGGAAAAAAAATTGTAAAATGGAAATAAAGCCACTTAAACCCCAAGCTAAACCTTTAGAGGGATGTGGTAACACATGATTATTTTTTCCTCAGAGTGTTGTTATAAATAACAAGACCACTGGCTCAGAGGAAGGCAAGAGAAGTCACTGTGATGAAGAATCAACTAAGTTTGATGCTTTAGGTGGAAAGAAGGACACAGAAAGACTGGACAAGGTTACCCCACTATTCCAAAGACTTCTTTGTGCTCTAATTGAAGAGGATGAAAGTGAAGAATCATATCACCAAAGTGATGCAAAGAATATATCTCGACAATGTGCTAGTGATGATTCTCACTGTGGTTCTTGTAATCAAATTGATTTTGAACCCAAAGATCGTGATAGAATGGATTCTGAAGTTGAATCAGAGGTAGATCTTCCAATTCAGAAGAATTGCATGTTGGATAGACTGTCTTGTGAAAAGAGCACCACATCCAACACATTTAGGTACCCAAACACATCCAGTTCTTTACAAAGCACTGGAGTTTGGCAGGACGACGAAGAATTTTGCCTTTCGGATATCACACACACCAGTGAAATATGTTCAAATGATGTTGATCAACTGCAGCCTGCTGAATTAAGTGTTCTTAGCTTTCCTTCTCCTGATGGCCAGTATCAGCTGATGTCACTGGATGACAGACTGCTGCTGGAGTTGCAAAGCATTGGGTTATATCCTGAAATATTGGTAGGCTTTTATTTCATACAGGGAATTAAAAATTTCTGTTACTTGAAGCTCTTACTATATTCATAGCTATACATGTTAAACTTACTTTGTTTGGTGCAGCCTGACTTGGCTGAGGAAGATGAAGCTATAAATCAAGACATTGTGAAACTTGAGAAAGCATTGTACGAACAGGTGTGTAATGAAAGAATTTTCTTTGAAGTTTTGATCACATATATCTGCTTGATCTCACGTTGGGTCCATTCTTATTTGCTATCTCTTATTAATAGAATGGGAGGAAGAAGAATAACTTGGACAAAATTGATAGTGCTGTTCAAGAAGGGAGGGACATGGAAAGGCAGTAAGTGCTAATTATGTGTCATGTTTTGCTTCTGATCCCTCTCTATCTTCAATTTCATTTTTGTTATAGCTTATGTCCTAATTTCCTTTTTTACTTGGCAGCATTCATGACACAACTTTCCAATTTGAGTTTGTGCTTAAGATATTGTTGATTCTTATTAAGATTGGCATGTTTATTTTGCAGGAAGATTGAACAAGCTGCGTTTGACCATCTTATTGAAATGGCTTACAGAAAGAGATTGGTAATAAACATTACTGTGTCAATCTTTTATTGTATTTTAGTAGGATTTACAAATTTCCTTACCACTTTTCTAGTTATAAAATCTCCTGCTTTTTATACTTGATTAGTTTAGAGTTTGGACCTTGTAAATAGTCTCTGGTGCACTGCAGAGCAACATATTTAGTTGCATTACAGATACTATTGAGTTCCATATTCTACCCATAGGAATCTAAGGTCGGCTTCAAAAAGCCTACGTGCTTAAACACCAAATTGGTCCTTCTTGGACTTGGTTTCGGTGTAGAGAATGAATTCCTACTGGCTTAGTCATATACACTTTTTTTTCTTAGTCTTAGAATTAGGGCTTGGGACCTAACACGATCCTTGATCCCACAAAACTGGAAATTTAAGGACTACCCAAGTCGTAACTTAACTTTTCTGTTGCATTGGTGCCTTGTTTCCCCATAAATTCTTAGTAGTTTCTATGATTTTGGTTATGACCTGCTATCTTTTGTGTGACAACTGGACAAATACTCACAGATAGACGAATCTCTACATTTAATGTTGCCTTTTCTGCATAACTGGTTTAGTTGAAATATTGAATTTTGGGTAATGTAGGTTACAATTCTTTGCTCACTGACTATTGGTAATATTGTTTTAATGAACAAATCTAGCCATTCATTAGCCATAATATTTTTTTTTTTATGAATTTAAAATATTTGCAGGCATGCCGAGGAAGCAAACATTCAAAAGGTGCAGTTCACAGGGTGTCTAAACAAGTTGCTTTGGCCTTTCTCAAACGGACTCTTGGAAGATGTAAAAGATATGAAGAAGCTGGCATTAACTGCTTTAGTGACCCTACCCTGCAAAATATAATGTTTGCTCCACCTTCACGTGAGAATGATGCACAACCTGCTGAATGCATGGTCTCTGGGACAGCCAGTAATACATGTAACAAAGCTCCCCATCAAATTGAGGCCAGAAAATCAGGTATTCAAAATTATGCTTTTGTTTACTTTTATGATATCAGTGGATGTGTCGTTACTCTTTTAACATATTAGGTCTTAGAATCCCCTGCTAACTTGAAGCGAATTCAGATTTGTCCGAGTCAGTTGGTTGATTTCTCCCCCCTTTTATTTTTCTGTTGTCTACTGCTACAGGTGCAGTTTCTAGTGCTTCGGAGAAATACGATTGCCATAGAGATTATGCAGACAGGGGATTGGTTGATTCTTTTCAAGGTTCAATTCAGTCATCAGAGCAAGCATCATCCAAGAATGGGTCCGTGTTTATCAAAGAAAAGAAGAGGGAAATGCTGGTCAACGGTTCTTCCTCTAGAGCATCAAATCTAGAAGGTGCTGTTCATGGTGGAGTGAGGGGAAAGAGAAGTGAGAGAGAGAGGAATCAGAGCAGACAAAATTCTATTGGTAGAGCTGGACGCATGTCCCTGGACAGTAGCCCAAATGAGAACAAACCAAAAGCCAAGAAGCAAAAGACTAGTGCTAGTGGACATGATAGGTATAAGGAAACAAAGGAAGAATCTGCTGTGGCTGATACAATCAATAATAGTAGCAAAAATGGGGCAACATTATCTGGTAACCAGGACAATTCTCAAATAAATGAGTCCAATGACTTCGGGAATTTGCCACTACCTGATTTAAGTTCAATTGAAGAATTTGGTGGGGCGCATGATCTTAGTTCTTGGTTGAACTTTGATGAGGATGGTTTGCAAGACCATGATTCTATTGGCCTTGAAATACCAATGGATGACCTATCAGATTTAAATATGCTTATGTGAAGGGATGTGACTTAGACTCTACTGGTTACACGTATGATATCTGAAGGAGAATTTGTATGTATTCAGTGAACCTTGCGGGCATCAAGATCTGGAGGGAGTTTTTGTGATTGGGATGGATTGTTACGAATTTTGACACATTTTATAGGGTAAACAGAGTGGTGGAGACTTAAAATTGCAATTCGATATATATATTTTTTGCCTGGGAAGTTGTATAGAGGAAGCTACAATCATGGATTTCATGAAATTGCTTTTAGATTCCTTCTCTTATGAATCTAACTGGTTTTTCCGGGTTAGAGGCATGGTCTCTGAAATGACTTCCAATTGGAGATTAGATTAAAGCGCTATGCCATTCATTTAATCAGAGGAGACTGGGTGGTTTCATTTCTCAAGCTGTGACTTAAGCTTCAGCTACCATGCAATGTAAAATGTTTTTGTTCTTATAGCCTGTAACTGGCATAATGTTGGTTGATGATATGTTAATTAATTTTTCTGGGATTAAACTCGCTAATTAATCCCATATGTAGTGTCCTAGGACTCATCATTGACAACTGATTCTCTTACGGTTGCATAATATAGCTGAGCAGAAAAACGACCCATGTCTTGCCTCTAGTTTCGGGTCTCTATTTTCTGTTGATTCTCAGCATTTGCCTTCACTGTTCAAACAAGTAAACTGTGTTTTACAATTTCGATAATGACACAAACAACTAACGCCGCAAGAATGATTCTTTTGATCTATTTTAGTCCTTTGTCTCGTGGTCATTCTGATTTTATTTGTACAGATTTGTCTTCCCTTTTGCTGATTGTGTTCATTTTAAGCATTCAACTTGTTTTTCCCATTGTGTTGTTTCCATGTAGTAATAAAGAAATAGCTTGATCGTAAAAAACAAGCATGACATTATTTCATATATAATACACGTCATGAAGTCTTCATGACAAAATGCCATGATTTAGATCTATTTTGACTGTTACTTATTTATCAACCGAGTTATTAAACAGATAATGAATAGCCACTCAAGAATTGTACCATCATAGATTGGGTTTCGTTGCCCAATCTGCTTCAGAATACAAGTCATAACAATTAGGCTTATTGTTGGAAGCACAATACATTCTCTTAATTACTTATTTAGTTGTTGATATATTCTTGCATAATTTATATATGTGGGTTTTCAGTGAAATACTAAAGTGCGAGTATTTCCTTCTTTACCATCTCCTCGATGTGTAGATCAAAAGTCTACTAGTTATGATTTTAATAGCACCGACCCCACGGAAATATAGCTTACCTTCACATTTTTCAAAAGAAAAATCACGTGTAGTGATAACACATAAGAGAGAAGTCTTCACTTGCAATTCAAAAAAATAAATTAAAACAGTGACCACACTCCCAAAAGTTTACCTGACATAATATCTTTTATTTTTTTTCAACATTCAAAATAAAAATTATACTAATGAATTAACTTTGATTTTTTGTAGGGGTGTATTTATTAACTTTGATATACCTCGTTATTTATGAGTATACGTATTCAAAAATTATTACTTATATTTTAGTTAAATAATATATTATTTAATATTTTAATAATAAATATTTGATAAAATTAAAATTTAATATATTAAAATACTTAGTACGATCCTTTATGATAGAAACAAATGAGTATATTGTTTTTTTATTCTAATTATAAAAAATAAGTAGTTACTTTAAGATGTATTAATTATTGATTTTCTTTTATATCTTCACGCAAGCAGATAAATTTATTAATGTATTAATAATACAAGTGACATTAATTAGTAGAAAAATTTATTTCTTGAATTACGTATAGTGTAGTGTTATTTAATGTTATCATTATTTAAATCAATCCATTTAAATGGTGTTTTTAGAATGAAATTTAATTCTATAACATCAATAATGAAAAGTAACCATCTTAAATACTTTAATTTTTTTTATGGTTAAAATATTTTTTTAATCTTTATAGTTTTAATTACTTTTACCTTTTAGTCCTTATAGTTTAAAATTAATTTTTTTAGTTTTTATACTTATCTTTTTCAATCATTTTTAGTTCTTATAATTTTAGATAAATTTTTTAGTCTTTATACTTGTAGTTTTTTTTAATCATTTTAGTTTTTATCGTTATATTTTTTGTTTAAATATGTTTTTAGTCTCTCAAGTTTAAGGTAAATTTATTTTTAACTCCTCAAATTTAAAATTATTATTTTTAGTTTTGTAATTTTCAAAAATCTTGTTTTTGTTCTTCAAATCACTAATAACATATCTGAAAGTGATAGATTGAAATAGTTATGCATTATGAGTTGAGTTTAATGTGATGTTTTCATTAACAGGGACATAGTAGATAAATTTGATGCAACACTATTTGATAAATTTCCTAGCAAAATTTGAGTATAAGGACTTAAACAAGATTTTTTGAAATTTCAAGGACTAAAAAGATTAGTTTTAAAGTTGAGAAACTAAAAATAAATTTATCTTAAATTTGAGAGACTAAAAACATATTTAAACTTTTTTTATAATGTTATCTCATTTGTACTGATGTGTCAAAGATATTAATTCAACTTTGTGTATCTAATGGTAAATTTATTTTGTTAAAATTACTCTAATTTAGGTCTTTCAAAGTTTTGTGTCTTTACTTATATAACGCCCATTATTAAAATGCATTTTTTTTACACTTATAAAATTGAAGACATATACTATGTCAACAAAAAAAAATGTCACAAAAAAATAAGGATAGAGACTAAAAAGATTAAAAAAATTACAAGTATAATGACTAAAAAGATCTTTATCTTAAACTATAAAGACTAAAAATGATTGAAAAAGATAAGTATAAAAAAAATTATTTCAAACTATAGAGACAAAAAGTAAAATAAGTAAAACATAGAGACTAAAAATTAAAGTACTTTAACCTTTTTTATCTATAAAATTTATAATACTGATACCAAAGTTTGAACTTAAGACCCTGCTCATTTTACTCAAACTCCCATCACTAGATATACTTTTATTTATTTTAATAAATTACCTATTTATTTCTTATATAAAAGATCAAAAAGGGTAATTAATTATAAAACATTATACAAATTTGGTGTAGTAAAAAATAATTAAATTAAATTTAAAATCAAAATATAAAAAAAATATGAGATGAAAATATAAAAATATACTTACGAATTGTGAAAAAAAATTAAAAGTTAAAAGTATGGTTTTAACTATTATCAATTTTAATATATCATATAATTTATATAATAAAGCACTCAAATTAGCATTTTCTTCAATATTTTTCACCGATAAATATTTGCATACAAATTAGGCCTATTTAATTAGTTGATATCTATTAAATTTGTGATAAATTAGTTTTAACATTGATCGCTGCATGATTTTCAAGTTAAATTAAATTGTTTTAAATAATTACGTTAGGGAACTATTTATAATGATCCATGTGACTCATGAATCATAACAGTACTGATTGAAAAAAATCTGACTCATAACAGTAGCAATGGTAATGCAACGAGCACTGCTATGCAGGCCGAATAATATTCCTAATCATAGGCCGAATTATTAAAATATTATTATCTTTTAATAAATATATTATAAAATAATTATTTAATTTAATATTTTATTATTTAAATCAATTTTTTAATAATTCAGAAGAAATTTCGACGTCTTCTTTCGGAGGATGCATCATTTTCCTAATGTAACCTAATAAAGCATAACTTTTAACATGATCATTATATTATACTAAATTTAAATAACGAGAATATTAAAATAAATAAATTTATTTTACATAAAAAGGTTTATAAATTTATTTAAACGTATTAATATGCTTTTATACCAAAAGTGTTCTCTCATATTATTATTTTAAGAGTAAATTATACTTTTTCTTAAAAAATACAAATATTTATTTTCCCGTACATATAAAAAGAAAAAACACAATATCATATTGTCTTCTTATGTTAAAAATTACGGTTTTCTCCTTTGATAAATTTCAATATACAACACTTTATCTATTTTTTGAGTTTTTTTTTATTAACTTTTGTTATAAAAAAATTATTACCAAAATATCATTCACATTAACATGATCTAAAAGATGCAAGTATTACACCACCTTTCATTTTTATGCTAAGATAATCATCTTTTTTATGTTAACAAATATAAATATGTTACACTTAAAAAATTTGTCGCTTAATTTACATATTTATTTATTATTATTTTAAAAAATATCATGAATATTGCTAAAATTAATTATATATATTTTTGAAAATATTTTAATTATTATGCTCACAAAATATTTTTTAAAGTTATTAAAATGCAAATAATGTTTAAATATAAAGTACTAAGATAATATTTAATCAAATCAAAGTAGTTAATGTAATAGTTTTAAAAATGTTTAAATAAAATAGTATTTTATTATATTTTACATTATTCATAGACATAATTCACACAATATTTCAAAGCTGACAACTAATGATTAATTTTTGTGTTTTTACTGACAAAATATTATTTAAACAAACAAGAATTGGATATGAGAATATCATGTTAATGTCTTGTATTTTATGACAGACCTTATAATCACTGGATCATAATACTTATTATATAGTATTAATTATGATTTTTTTTTCACAAAAATTATAATAATGAACAATAAAATTCAAACTTAAACCCTAAATCTTAAACATAAAACTCTACGCATATTGAGTTAATCTCTACTACTAGGCTGACCGATACCCAAAACAAATAGCTGAACCTAAAACTCTTAATTTTTTTGGATAAGTAATTGAAAAATACAATCGAAGAAAAATACGGTAATATTTGATAAAACAAAATACTAATTATAGATAAGAAATGATACTTTCGGTGTATAACATGCAATAAATTTTGAAATTTGAAATATGAAATAGAATTAAGAAAAACAAATTTGATCCTATTAAATGTAATAAATATAATGCCATTTTATTCATATTTTGAACGGACTTAAATTTACTAAATTAATCTTAATCTGGATGCAATTTTATTAAAAGAAGAATCTATTTCAATGTTAATAATTTATATCACAAGATTAAATTTAATATAGTATAATGTCATTTTATTAATATTTTGATATTTTGAGCAGACTTAAATTTACTAAATTAACTTTAATTTAAGTAAACTTTTTTAAGAGAAAAAACTATTCAAATATTAACAAATTTATATCATAAGATAAAATACTAACTACAAATAAGAAATGATATCTACATTATATAACATATAATAAAATTTGAAATTTAAAATATAAAATAGAATTAAAAAAAACTAATTTGATCCTATAAAATGTAATCTATATCTATCTATCTATACTTATAAAGATGATACATTTTGGTAATGGTAACTATCATTTTGGTTTCTATTTTTTAGTGGACTATTATACTCTTTAGATATAAAAAAAAAAAATATTCCTTTTTGAATAACTATCAGCAACTTCTAAAAATTTTCTGTGTAACTATTAGAGACATGAAGTGTCCCACTCGTAAAGTATAATGTCATTTTATCATTATTTTTAACAGACTTAAATTTACTAAATTAACCTTAGTTTAGGCAGATATTTTTTAGGAAAAAAATATATTTAAATGTTAACAACATCATGAGATTAAGATATTATTTAATTGATATTATTAATAAAATATTTTAATAAATATATAAATAAATTAGTGTTTTATGATAAAGTATTATTTATTATATTTAATAAATATAATGCTAAAATATATATAAACACACACATATATATATATATATATATATATATATATAT